CTCTGGACAGAATGCCTGGGTCTCCTATAAACTCCAGAAAGTCCCAGACAGGGCTCTGTTTGAAGTTGGCTTACAGAATGGAGAAATCAGAACTATCCGCCAAGTGACTGATAAAGATCCTGTCAATCAAAAACTGACTGTTATAGTGGAGGACAACGGACAGCCCTCTCGTTCAGCTACAGTCATTGTTAACGTGGCGGTGGCTGACAGTTTCTCTGAAGTACTGTCTGAGGTCCCTGACTTTAAACACGACAAGGAGTACAATGACAACCTGACTTTTTACTTAGTGTTGGCTCTGGCTGTAGTTTCCTTCCTCTTCATCACCTGTTTAGTTGTTATTATCTCAGTGAAGATCTACAGATGGAGACAGTCTCGAATCCTGTATCACTCCGGTCTGCCTGTGATTCCATATTATCCACCACGTTACTCTGATACAATGGGGACAGGGACTCTCCCCCACGTGTACAACTACGAGGTGTGCAGAACAACCGACTCAAGAAAGAGTGACTGTAAGTTCGGCACAGCTGGTAGTGAAAACATGCTAATAATGGACCCCCGTTCTACAGCAACGATGCAGAGAATACAGAGTGAAAAGAGCATCTTGGATGAACTAGACTCTCCTCTAGAGGTTTGAACTCCCAACTTGTTTTTTAAAGTACTTATCTTCATTTTTTTCTTTCAAATGTCGTCAGCTTACAGAACATGATAGCCCAGAAAAACACACACACACACAGTATTTGCTTATTTCTATATGGGAGCGACAACCGTCTCTCTCCATGGTGCTGAAACCCGTATTTTATAATTGTTTGTTTGTGTTTTTACTCCTACTCTCCTGATTTTTTTTATGTCATATTCTCACATTGTTTGTGTTTTTACTCCTACTCTCCTGGTTTTTTGTCATATTCTCACATTTTGACTATTTTATTTACGTTCGTCTGTAGCATTAACACGTCGGTTATCAAACAAACAGAGGTGTAACCGCCAAATTGATTGTTTTATTGAAGAAACCACCAGACTACCAGCAGAGGATCATTGTATTTTTGACTTACTCTCCAGTCAGTTATCTGTTAAGCTTTTTGTAGTATCCACATACGGTCTGTAGATGCCACTGTTGGTTAATTTGAGCTTAATCATGTCTCACTGTGAAGTGAAACACGCCTACTTTTTCCTGCGTTACAGCTTCATTTTTATCTGAACAACTGGTTGACAAAGCGAAGTGCCTTCATCCAAACAATGACATTACAGGATTTTGCTTAAGAGTCTGGTCGAGTTTACCACCGTGTTATTGTTTTTTTTAGCCATATATTTTTCCAGACGGTTCTGTTCGTGATGGGCTCCTTTCATTGTGTGCCCGAGAGGATATCATTTGCATGGACGTCGCTGGTTCTCATTGTATGTGCTACACAAATGGTTCGAGGACAGGTCCGTTATTCCATACCCGAGGAAATGGCGACAGGCTCCGTTGTTGGGAATATAATTCAGGATTTAGGCTTGGACGTTAAACGACTGAGATCTGGGCGCGCCCGGATTTTTACCGAGGACGGCAGTGAGTACATTGGTCTAAATGCAGACAAGGGGACATTAGTTGTGGCTAAACGAATAGACAGAGAAGGATTGTGTCAGCAAGTGTCTCCCTGCTCTCTCCATTTCCAAATCATCCTGGAAAATCCAATGGAGTTGCACCGAATTGATGTAGAAATTACAGATGTTAATGATAACGCCCCCTTCTTTTCTAAAAAGGAATACAATTTTCAGGTTAGTGAATTGGCCTCACCGGGGGCTCGCTATTCGCTGGAGAGTGCGATCGATCCTGATGTTGCTCAAAATACCATCCAAACCTACAAAGTCCACCCCACAGAACATTTTAAATTAAATGTAGTTTCTCGCTCTGATGGAACAAAATACATCGAGATGATTCTCCATACGGCACTTGATAGAGAAAACCAAGAAGAACATAAATTAACCTTGACAGCATATGACGGCGGAAATCCACAAAAATCTGGATCTGTGAAAATAAATGTTCTTGTTTTAGACGCAAATGACAACGCGCCAGTTTTTAGTCAATCTGTATATAGAGCGTCTGTGTCTGAAAACGCATCCACGGGCACTAGTGTACTAATAGTCACTGCAACGGATAATGACAAAGGAGCGAACGATGAGGTGATGTATTCTTTCTCCCATTACACTGAAGGCGCAGCATCACTGTTTAACATAAATCCCCAAACAGGAGAAATAACCGTAAACGGAGTCTTAGATTACGAAAAGGCAAAACACTTTGAAATAGACATTAAAGCTACAGATAAAGGGGGCTTGGCAGACACCTGCAAGGTTTTAATTGAAGTGACAGATCAGAACGACAACGCTCCTGTCATAAACATCATTTCCCTGTCTAATCCCATACCAGAGGATTCGGCTCCAGATACAGTGATTGCTATGATTAACGTTAAAGACCTGGACTCTGGCAAAAATGGTCAAGTCAAGTGTTTCATTAGCCGAGATTTACCCTTTAAAATTAAGTCAACGTCCACTAATTTTTACAGCCTAATGTCTGACGATATCCTGGACCGTGAAATTGTGCCAGAATTTAACATAACAATAACAGCGGTAGACGACGGTTCACCGCCTTTTACCACAAACAAGACTGTGCATTTGAGAATATCTGACGTAAATGACAACGCTCCAGTTTTTAAACAACAAATTGTGACAGCTTTTATATCTGAAAATAATTCACCTGGTATGCCACTAGTGTCTGTGAAAGCCAGTGACAAGGACGCAGGGAACAATGCTCGTATTTCCTACTTCCTTGATGACACCCAACTGAACGGTATGTCAGCATCGACTTATTTTACAGTGAATGCAGAGAGTGGGGAGATACTTGCTGTGCGTTCGTTTGATTATGAGCAAACTAAAGAGTTCCACATTCGAGTCAAAGCTCAGGATGGAGGCTCTCCTCCACTCAGTAGTAATGTGACCGTGAAGATACTGATCCAGGACCAGAACGATAACCCTCCTCAGGTTCTGTACCCAGTCCAGACTGGTGGCTCTGTGGTGGGTGAAATGGTGCCTCGTTCAGCAGATGTGGGCTATCTGGTCTCTAAAGTGGTGGCTGTTGATGTGGACTCTGGACAGAATGCCTGGCTCTCCTATAAACTCCAGAAAGTCCCAGACAGGGCTCTGTTTGAAGTTGGCTTACAGAATGGAGAAATCAGAACTATCCGCCAAGTGACTGATAAAGATCCTGTCAATCAAAAACTGACTGTTATAGTGGAGGACAACGGACAGCCCTCTCGTTCAGCTACAGTCATTGTTAACGTGGCGGTGGCTGACAGTTTCTCTGAAGTACTGTCTGAGTTCACTGACTTTAAACACGACAAGGAGTACAATGACAACCTGACTTTTTACTTAGTGTTGGCTCTGGCTGTAGTTTCCTTCCTCTTCATCACCTGTTTAGTTGTTATCATCTCAGTAAAGATCTACAGATGGAGACGGGAGCGCCTGTTTTATAAATCCAGTCCTGGGAATCTTCCTGTTATTCCCTACTACCCTCCACTTTACGCAGACGGCGGAGGCGCCGGTACTTTAAAGCCCGCCTTCAGTTATGAAGTCTACGGAACTACTGACTCACGTAAAAGTGATGTGAAGTGCCCTCGACTTTTCAGTGAGAGCACCTTAACTGTTGATCGTTGTGCCACAGGGACAGTGCCAAGACACACAACCCAATCAGAGAACATCTTTGGAGAGGTGAGGTCAGCACCAATGTTTTTACCTTGAAGGGACCTGTAGGCAGAAATCCATTCAATAGAAACGTCTGTAATGTTGTGACTGGTCTAGAATGAACCCGGTTGTATTTGCATCAGTGAACTACTGTAAAGACAACATTCAAAAGTACAGTGCATTGCTCCGCTGTGTCACTGCTCCCACACACAGCCACACAGTACTCTTCTTTGACTGACCTAATTCCCTTCATAATATGGCGCAGGCAGCTGGTATCACGGTGCACATACTGTACACGTGTGGAGCGAAGGAACAACAAGGGCGGAGATGCATGTAACTGAAGTAATCAATGAATTACATGATGTGGTTCTACGTGTTATGATGAACAATGTGTGAGAGCTGCTACTGCATGCTGGATGGAGATTTAAAAGCAGCGATGTGATGCAGAAGCAGCGGAGGGGGAGGGGGAGAGACACGTGGTCCCCAGCACAGTCTCTGCCATCCTTGAGCAAAATCTGTGCTAGTGATGCAGGGCAGCCATTTTATTCTGCAGCTCTTTCTGCCTCATCAATAGAGAGCTGGGAGAAATCACGTTTTGGCAGCTTTATTAGACGGTTGTTTGGCTACTGTAAAAAATAAAAAATAATAATAAAAAAAACACCCTGAGATAATATTTACAGGTACCTGAGAGACATGACGTTTTGCTAAAAAAACAAAAAAATAAATAAAAGCTAGCCAGTGTTTTGGAAAATTCTCTTTTAAACATGTGCATTGTTGCTTAAGGAAGACTGTGGCTGAGGATAGTCTATCTGCAGTTTGTAGTGTCCGTATGTGTGTGAGTGTGTGTGCTCCAGCAGTGATTTTGCATGTAGCTCAGGTTGTGTGCATGTGTGCAAAGTATGCACAAAGCAGCTGGTGAGGTCAACAATGTTAGCTTCCATGTCTATTAAAGTGATTTGTCAGTTTCCCCTACACCACATCTGTGTCAGCTTTACCTGTTTGAGCTGCATTTCAGCATAAAATCTCATGGTCTCAGTTGATGGTAGTTATTATTTAAAGCATCATAAATTCTTTCGACTACATCAGGGTCTCAGTGAACAAGTTCTTTTTCCTGTTGTGTAGGTGTGTTAGCCAAGCTGTCTGTTGAACAGCTGGGTGTACACCTGATGTCTCTGAGGCTGTTGAACACATTGTGCATGTCATGTGAAGTGAAACACGCCTACGCCTACGCCTACCATGTCATGGTCAACCTTAACAACTATCAGCATTACTGTTAGATTTGTTACTATCCCAGACATCTTGGATATACATGGTATATGTGGAATAGGAACATAACATGTGCTTACTGTATCCACGGAGGGTCACACTCTTTAGGGAAGAATTAGAACATAATCATAATAATAAAATTTCTCCATAATGTTCTTGGAATACAGAGGTCATGGTTGATATGTTTGAAATTACAGTTTGATCAGTGTGTGAACACTTTAAGCAGCACAGCAGATTTTGTGTGTGTTGGTGTTGTCAAGGTTCTCTCTCCTGACTTGCAATATTATTTCATTATTTTGCTTTTGTTTTATTTAAACTCTACCATAAAACTGTAATGCCACTGTTCAGCCGTCAGTCTCCTCTCTCCGTTATCAGAAGCTCCTCTTCCTTCCTCCTGTTCTCATTTCTGTATTCCTCCCCTCCCCCTCTCCAGCTGCACCATTCTGCTGCAGAGAGTGAAAGAGATGCAGAGAACGAGGTGATTGTGCAGAATTTGTTCTTTTGTCACTGTAGGACATTTTATTTTATCTACATGAAAGTCCCATGATGACACTCCCTCTCTCTCTGTGTGTGTGTGGCTCATCATGTTATGATAAGTTAACAGTGCAATATGTCCCATTCCTTTGTTTGACATTTGGGCCTGGTTAGTGAATGATATACAAATGACGTCATAAATGCTTGATTTAAAGACGTTTCGATTATTCTGTGTGAATGTTGACCATGATTTCTCCACTCGTCTTTTGTCTTGTCGTCATCCCTCGTGCTGTTTTTTTTTTTAGCTCCCATTTGCCTTCTTGGCCAGGAAGCTGGGTGGGATGTAAGTAAGAGGTGGGATGTGTTGCCATGGTAACAGGCTGGCTCACAGGCAGGGCTGTACCATTTTTATTTAACCACAGGGGGTCAGCAGCAGAGGCAGACTCTAATGTCCGTTTACTCCATGTTTATGTTGTTACCGGAAGCAGCGGAGTCACCCCTGTTTCTCTGAAACAGGTCCTGCAGTCTGAAACCTGGGGTGTTAATGATGAAGAAAGGGATGAGGGAGGGTGTGAAGATGGCATGATGGCTGCTTGTGATTTTTTTTTTTTCAGGACAGTGCTCTGTTATTTTTATCTATTACGTTCTTGCTGTAAAGGCTACTGTAATAACTTGTTCTGTATGGGTGTGTTTGAGCAGCAGTTTCATCTAAACATTGGCTGCACAAACAGTACAATTTTCACATCCATGTTCTCATTTTACTGGTCTAAAAACACTGATTTGGCCTTGTGAAAAAAGAAAAATCAATTCTGCTTCTCAAAGAGACATCAGCTGTGGAGAAGAAAGAAGGGGAAAAAACAGTCTCTAAGCAGCAAATCTCATTAATAAGGAATAGGTTTGTCTCAGGGCATCGCCTTTAGGCCCTCTGCTGTTGCTTTTAGGGAAGTGTTTTGGTGCAGCAGTGCAGTGTTGTGTTTAGTCTGAGTAGGTAATCATTGTTTTTATCTAAACTATCTTTTATTTTTATTTTTTACTTTATATTGAATAATCAAATCTCTAATGTTAAGAATGATCAAATTTAAAAACATTATTAATTTGAATTGTAATGCTTAAATATCTTATATCCATAATAAATCCTATCCATGGCAGGTTACAGTGAGTTCTGTTTGTTACTGTTTACCAGCTTTTTCAAAGTAGCTAAAGCTAAGCTTGATTATCATGAAGAATACTTATTTCACAAAGCTGGAAATATTAACTTACTCTTACTGTTTCTTTGTCTCTTCTCCCTCCCTCCTTACTCTTGTCCCCCATACACATACACACATAAATATAGGCATAATCACACATTGTTGTAAATTAGATTAATATGTATTTTATATCTGCTTTTTTGTGAACCAGAAAGGTAAGTATGGGGTTGAACTCCCTTCCGGTGCCAGATCTTTGTTACGTGAACACCAATCTAACCAAGATGCTTCTTTTTTTCTCTCTCTCTCTTTCATGTCCCCCCTCCCTTGATGTCTGTTGTTCCTGGTTCCTCCCTCCTGTCCTGTTTATCTCAACTCACCAAAAAGGTAAGAAGTAATTCTACTCTACAACCTTCACATCACCAGCAACACATCCATTCTGTTCAGTTTTACAGTTGATTTGAGAGAACAGTACTCACAACCATACAATACTCACAACCATACAGTACTTACAACCATACAGTTCTCACAACCAAGCACATAATCTAGATCACAACACATTGTTAGAACTCACACAAACCTATAACTTTGATTTTTTTTTTTCAGTTCAGATCATATTCTGTTTAAGTCACACACATATTAACACATCTCTACACAAAGAAAACATTTTTCATGAGGCTTTATTGGATGGATCATTTGTTGACACCAGTTCATGTCTGATATGTGCATAGTTCACTGATCAAAACAGAGAGTTTGTTGGAAACTAAAATTACACTTTAGTACTGACAAACTTAATCCTGTATTCAGGATTAAAGCTCTATAATTTTAGGTTACTTGTTTTTTTCAAGGTGCTGAAAAGGTGGGTGATTATTCTCATTACTTACAGAACTGTTCCAGTTATTATGCATGCATGTTTAAGATTACAGAGCAGTTGTGAATGCACATCATGCTGGAAATTGGTTGCTATAAATACACACTTATCAATTACTTTAGCAACTGTTGTTGCTGAAGATGATATTGTACTGACGGTGGGAAACAAAGAACATGACATTGCATCCATGAAATAATTGTGATTACATTAGAAATGCACAGATTAGTTATGTTTAGATCTGGAATTTGTAGTATAGTTACACCATTTGTGTGACATGCTACAAATGTATAAAATAGCCTGTGTTTTTTGTAATACTTTTGATTTTTTGTGTTATAACTGCTTCAGACATTACAGCGAGGTTTACGTTACAGTTATCAGAGTAGGTTGCAATACGGATATTAATTTATATTCAATATGCTGTATATAATTGTGTTTTGGTTTGTAGCTCCTCTTTTTGTTTGATATCAACTCAGATACAACGGTTCAATGCAAAAGCTGCATTATTGGATCTTTGAAAAAAATATACAGTATATAATTAAAATAACAAAAGGAAAATTAACCACGCAACATATTTCTTTTGCAAATATGTTTTTCCGTACAGTAAGACCAATACAGGATATTTGATATATGCCGTAGTATTTCATTGGGTACAGTTGTGATGTGATAGAGATTGGAACAAACTGACGCTGCTGACGTCAGTGTGAGCTTTCCTGCAGCAGCGGCTGTTCAACGCCCTCGGTGCGGTGGTTCACACGGTGGTGGCGCGAA